TTTCAATTCTTTTATATTTGCTGGTTTGTTTTATGATTGAGGGTATGGTCTGTTTCAGTAAATATTCTGTGGGAGCTTGAAACATACGTGTATTCTGCTGTTATTGCATGGGGTGCTCTATAAATGTCAGTTAGAGTCTGTTTGTTGATGGTGTTGTTGAGTTCTCCTTGCCGATTTTTTAATCAAGTTGTTCTATCAGTTATTGAGATGAAGTGTTGAAGTCTCCAATCGTGAATGTGGATTTGACTATTTCTCCTTTGAGTTCTCTCAGATTTTGCTTCATGTATTTTCCAGCCCTGTTGGTTAGTACATACATATTAAGGATTGTTGTGTCTTCTTGGTGGATTGACCCTTTAACATTATGTAATATTTCTCTCTGTCCTTAGTAACTGACATTGCTCTGAGGTTTGCTTTATGTGCTATTAATATAGCTATGTCTGCTTTTTAGAAATTAATGTATGTATGGTATATCTTTTCTCACTTGTTAATTTTCAGTCTACTTATATCATTATATTTGAAGTGGGTTTATTTTTGACAGCATATCATTGAATCATGTTTTTTAAATCCCTCTGCCAATCTGTCTTTTAATTCCTCTACTTAAATGATATGTATATGATATGATTATTGACCTGTTAGGACTTAAGTTCACCATTTTAGTTTTTGTTTTCTGATTATTCCCTCTGTTTCTCATTTATCTGTGTTCTTTTTCCTGCCTTCTAGTCAGTTACTTGAACATTCTTTTGAATTCCATTTTGATGTATCTATAGTATCTTTGAGTGTATCTCTTTGTATGGTTTTATTAGTGCATGTTTGAGGTATTATATTAAATATACATGACTTATCTTTGTCTGTTGGAGTTAACATTTCACTAGTTTGAGGGTGGTGTAGAAACCTTACCTCTGTTTACCCTCCTCCATCTATATTATTGTTTTAAACATTTCTTCTACATACATTGAGAACCACATTTGACAGTACTATAATTTTTGCTATATCTGTCAAACATAACTGAGAAAACAGTATCAGAAGGAAAGTCTATTGTATCTACTTATATTTTTGCTCTTTCCACTGGTCTTTCTTCCTTATGTCACAAGATTCCTTCTATTACTTTTTTTTTTTTTTTTTA